TGAGCTGCGGTCTGCACAGGATATAACTGCCGTTCCCTTCGAGATGTATATTTTCTTTTGGTTTGCAGTCTGGACGTTTTGCTCTGAGTATGTCTCAGAGCAGCAGGCCTGTTGTGATCGCTTGACCTGAGTATTCATCACTGTTGGAAAATCACCCATTGCTCTTTCTCTGAACACTACCTGCACTCTGTTCTCTCTGTTCTTTTCTGGAATTCTGCTTGTTTCCTGTATTAGCTTCTCTCTTATTCTTCATATCTTCTAGTTTCTTCTCTGTATTTCCCATCTCTTTTAACCTCTTGGTTGCAATGGAATCATTTGTTCAGCTCAAATTCCAGTATATTGTTGTCTCTTCATCTATGTGTGATCTGCTGTTTAATTTCTCCGTTGAGTTTTTATAATCAAAGATTACATCACTCACTTCCAGCAGTTTCCTAATTTTTTGCCTAGTATTTTTGATGGTCTTTCATTCTTTTCCTCATGTTTTCTATGCTCTTCTATTTCTAAAAGCAAATTTATTTTGTATTACAGACCTATGATTTCCAATGTTTGAAACTTTTGGTGATCCAGTTCTGCTTACTTGTTGTTTCTTGTTTTCTTGTGTCTTTTGTCAATTTTGATTTTTAGCAGATATTTATTGAGATAATACCTTTGGGATTCTATGACTTCTGAGCTGAGTGAATATTCCTTCAGAGAGGATTTTCCTTTGCTTTAGTAGGTATCACAGGGTGAAACTCATCCATTACCACTTAACATTTTTCTTGTGGCTTAGGTTTATTGGAATAAAACAGTAGTGGGAATACAAGCCCCAAGTGACAATGAGAGTATCTAATTCTCAGGAAAAACTTCTCTTCATACGTTTTTCTCCATGTGGAGCCAATACTGACATAGACAAGTTTCCTTGTGCAGAGAGTATCTTTTCCCCTAGTTTAATATTTAATTTAGAAGCTCTCTCTGAAGCTCATTTGTTTTTTACTTTCACTTCCTCTCTCATAGAAACCCAGTGCCTTGTCTGCTACCCAACCTGAGGCTCTAGGTGATAGAAAAAAAGCAAATTTGCTGAAGGCAGCTGCCAGCTTCACTCCTTGCTGACTGTATATTGTCAAGATTATTTTCTTTCTTTTCCTTTCCTCCCCCACCCTTCTTTCCTTTCATCCTCTTCTGAAATGTTCACATTAGCTTGGTGTACAGTTAAAAAGTATTCAGAATGTTTTTCTCATGCGACATTTTTAAGTGGTTTGTAATAGGAGGGATTTTAGCCAACAGGGTTGTTGCTGGGAAAAAGCATCTTTGTAGTCCTTCCTTTGTGATGTACCTGAGCGCCCACTGTAGAGGCTGACTGTGTCTGACAGTGTTTGACAGTGCATGGGCTTCTCATATCCTTGGATTATGTGAGAGCATTTTGAATGCTTCACCACAAAGTATGGTGTTTGTTTTAGGTTTCTGGTGGGTAACTTATATCAAACTATTGACTTTTTCTGTTCCTAGGGGTCACAGCATTTTAAAAAAATCAATCAGTGAATGTTAATGATCCTGTGATTATCATCCTTTACTCCTTGTTGGGCATCTTTTTCTAAGACTGAATCATTCTTACATTTCTGGAGCAAATTGTACTTGGTCATAACCTGTTATTATTTTAATACAGCCAATTAGTCAGTTTTTGGTTTTTGTTCACAAGTATGTTGGCCTCTAATGTTCCTTTCTTGCACTGTTTTTGTTTTGCTGTAGTATCAGTTATGTGCTTGGCCTATAAAAGGAGTGAGTTGGAAAGAGTGTTCCACATGCATGAGACAGACAACAGGTGGGTGTGCTTGTTGAGAGACACTGAGGCTTTGGAGTGGAACTTGTGAGTCACTCCATGTGTCTCAGGAGACGGGTCCTTGGCTGTGTTTGAGGGGCAAGGTTTGAAGGCTGTACTCCCTAGCTCCTCCACATGTCTTCTTGGGGCCCATCAAGTCCAGCAGTCCAAAGGACTGGCAGCTCACAAAGGTTCTGAAAGGCTAGAAAGCCGCCTTCTAGAAAGTTGCTTTCTATCAAAGTGGACCCTCAGATTCTCCATTTTCTTTGTTTTTAAAGCCTACATATAGGTGACAGTTTGGGCATGCATGCATATCTTGTCACTTTGGAAAAAAATGCTTTTACAGCCCCCACAGTTTCGCCTCCCCAAAGCACGTGCTCTGAGCTGCAGCAGCACTCACAGGGTGGAGCTTGCTTCCTCATGACATTCAGCTCTGGGCTGCTGAGCACTGCACTTTGTTTACACGAACAAGAAAGAAACACTTTCTGCTTTTGCTGAGACCCCCTTGTTTGGGGTTTTCTGTCACTTGCATCACACTTGCTCTTAAAGAGCACAGTGGCACCTTAGTAACGCCACTTATAGAGTAACACGTTTCCTCCCCTCATGTGAGCTCTCCCTCTCTCTGCATGAAGCTGTGAGGTCTCCAGGGCGCTGTAAGCCTCTTCCTTTCAGGCCCTTCTGTCAGCTCTGGCCAACATTCTACTGTCTACCGCCATGTAGCCATCCAGGCCTGGCCTGGCCCTGCTCACCTTGGTTTGACCTCCTCTGTCCAGCTAAGTTTTGACAGATCGTTTGTTCCTCAGTTGCTCTCTTGAAACCAAGTGTAGTTCCCTCTTGCCCTTGTGACTTTGGATTGGCGAACACCCAGACCTCATAGAAAGTGTTCGTCGCTCAGTTGTGTCTGACTCCTTGTGAACCCATGGACGGTAGCCCACCAGTCTCCTCTGTCCTTGAAATTTTCTAGGCAAGAATAGTGGAGTGGGTTGCCATTTCCTTCTCCAGGGCATCTTCCAGACCCAGGGATTGAGTCCGGGTCTCCCACACTGCAGGCGGGCTCTTTAATGACTGAGCCACTAGAGGCCCTGCCATTCCAGCTCCTATCCCAGGACTGCTCCTGGGCCCTCTTGCCAGCAGGCTCTTCTGGGTCTCTGCATAGTCTCAGCCACAACCTTCTCTCTCTCTTGCCTTCAGGGCCTGTTCCAAGCTGACATCATGCCCACCTCATCTGTGCACTCACTCTTCAGCAGACACCCCTGTCTTCAGCTTCACAGAGAAAATGTGACTGTTTGGGAATGAATTCTTTCATTTTCCTGGCTCCTTCCAACATGTGAGCTTTCTGTGCATTCCTGCTCATCCCTCTACTTGCTCACAGAAGTGTTTGCTCTCCTGCCAGGGTTGCAGCCTCTGCTTTGGATCCTGTTCCATTCTGCCTGCACCAGCTGGGCCCCCGTCACCTGTCCTTCACTCAACTGGCTCCCTGCTCTTCACAGATAAAGATTCCCAAGTCTTTACATTCTTGGTGTGGCATCAATGTTGACTGTGATCTGTTTTTTCTAAACACTATCCTCTTAAAACTTCTTCCTTACATAGTGACTTCTAGAAGCGTATCTATCACACTGGTGACAGCATTTTCCCCAGTTCACTTGAACTCCTCATCCTGCAATAATGTGATATCTCTCATCATCTAAGCACTGAAAGTGCTCTTCATCAGATCACCAAAGACCCACCAGATCTAAACTTAGGGATTCTCCATGTTCATGGGTCTTGACGTCCCAGTTATCTTACACTGTGTGTAACCATCCTCCTGGTGAAGAGATGCCAGTGTCTGGTTGCCATGGCAACTTTTGAATAGTTGACCTCTTGTATCTCTTGCCTACCCTAACAAAAGGGATCCTACTTAAAATCCTGTCCTAGTCTGAAAGTGGGGAGTCCTGGGAGTGCTGTTCCTGGACGGGGCATGAGAGGAAAGTGTGAGTGCAACGCCTATGCTTGGAAAGGGACATGCACACAGCAGGAGCCTAACAGAAACTAGAAGTTGTCAGCTGTGGAGTTGCTGGCCAGCACTCAGGGGCCCTTCTGGTTCAGAGGGTCTAGATGTGAGAGACAGCCCTGCTCCCTGCCTGCCCCACAGTATCCCCTTCTGGGGCCATTGAGACTCTTTCTGGAAGGTTCCCAGGATGCCCCAAGCAGCAGTCTCTCTGAGTCAGACCAGGTGGGGTGGGCCAGAGTGTGGGAGGGAGGGGGAGGCAGGAGAGCTGCAGATGGGGCTGCACCCACCCTAGCACCCAGTCAAGGCCACAGGGGAGAGTGCATTTGTTTTGTGCAGAACTGCGACTCTGAACTCTTTGGCTGTCTTTACATGGCTGCATCTCAAATGGAAACTGGAAAAAGGCTGCAGTGTCAGCAGCAGTGCTGTTGTCTACCTGCCCGAGTTTCAGATGCTGGACAAATGCACGTGAAAGAATTTGTGAGTCCACACACCTATGCCGGTTGGTGGGTGAAATCCATGCTTATTCAACAGAATTTCTTGTCTTCTGTCTCTTGGAGTCTGGAAGCAAGAACTGAAGGAGAGCAGCCAAGGGGGCCTCCCCTGTCACAAGAGGGCTGTAATCGGGAGGGGGTCCTACTACCCCACACTGAGCAGTATTTCTTTCACTCCAGAGATACCTTATGCCCAATCCTTCTGTCTCCTCTACTGACCCTGGGCCCCCCCAGAGGTCAGAAGTGTCTGAGGACTACTCTTCATGGGTGAGCCTCAGGCCCTGCCCTTCATCAATACCAAGGCCCCCCAAGGTGAAGAGGAGTCAAGAGTGATTGTCAGCAATAAACAGTTACAAGGTTTGATTTCAAAGAGAAACAACATGTAGACAAAATTGCTATGGGGAAGGTTTGGCTTTGCTCTAATTCAACCTGTGAGGTAGGGCCAAATGGACTCATTCTCCCCACCCCATGTCAAGGTGCCTGGAAAATCAGACCACCATTGAGCTAATCGATGGAAAACAAATTTAATACAACAAGTTCTAACCACCTACAGCCAGTTGGCTTTGTCACGGCAGCCTGAGGCCCAGGAGCGCAGAGGCCAGTATCAGGAAAGGCATCGGCCCAGCGCTTCTGCCCCTGCCCCGCCCCGTGCCGGGATTCAAGTAAGCATCTTCCGTGTTTTCTTTGATGACTGGTTTCTGGATGTTGCACAGGTTGGATGTACAGCACGCCAGGAACAGAAAGGGTGTGGGCTTTATGAGCACGAACGACCTGGCCATCCGTGAAAGTGTCTCATACAACCCACAGTTCACTGCACACTGCTTAGAATTAAGGAAGTACCGTGGAAATATTCCTAGGGAAAAATAGGACAGAGAGATGGGGGTCTCATGAATTGACAGCAGCAATGCCAACACCATTTCTGTCTGAAGTCTGCCCAACCCTGACCCTTCCATTTCCACTTTCCAGAACCCCACTCAAAGAGGGCACCTGACAGGGAGTTGGGAGCCATCACTGCAAAGGAAGAGGGTCAGGCCTTTGTGTTCAGAGCTGCTTTTGGGGGTGCTTTTGCATGGCATCAGATGCCACCAGCCCTGACCTGTCTGCACATACTGGGCACTTGAGCCTGGCAATCTCCATTTGGGAATGCATAGGTCCCCTGGGCCTCAACTTCTCGAACACGGTTGCTCAGGCCTTTGTGACCACAGACGAGACATATGGGAGCAAGGGGCACCTGGCCATCCTGGCCACTGCCCAGGACTTGGAGCTGGCCTCTCAAGGAGCCACTCTTGGGGCCTGGGTGTAACTGCTGTGACTATGACCCTGCTGCCGGCACAGCTCAGCACTGGGGGCAGGGCCCGTCTTCTGACTTCACCTCCCATATATCACTGTGCAATCATCTTTCCACACTAAGTTATCAAGTCCACATGAGGCTGCAGTGGCCCACACGCTTCCTGGAACATGGAAGCCCTAGAAGTGGCTGATGAATGGAAAGTGAATTCTCCAGGCCAGACAAGGCCACTGTTGGGTCATGCCAGGGCCTTCAAAGTCACCCTCGGGAGAGAGTTCTCATGAGGCCAGAAGTGCTTGGGGAAGTTACAGATGGCAGAGCAGCGGTCTCTAAATGTTTTAAACATGCATCCTCTTTTAGGACATATTTTAAGCCATGATTATGTACATCTTTTGTCAAAGCTATTCTTGGTCAGACACTGAAGTCATTAAGGCTCAACTGCTCCCTTAGAAGTGAATGAAAGGCGCTCTCCCTTTCTTTCTCCCTACACCCCAGTATTTCAGTCTCATGGCGGTTGATGCGTGCTGCCCTACATCAGCTCTGCTATTACTTATGTAAGCTGGGTCTCCTTAGTGGCCTGCCGTCACTCCTGGCTTCACAGGACTTTGCTCTTCAAATTTTAAAAAAGGATCATCTTTATGTTAGTTATTCTTTATTGAGGAAAACTCGACAGGCCCTAAGTCCTGAAAGCATTCTACTGGCCTGTGTGTGGCACCCCGCTGGGACCGAAGACACTTACTCACGGCAGCAGAGATACAGTAGTTAGAGCCCGTGTCACAGTTCTCTGGAGCTTGGCATTCGACATTGTTCTCCTGCTCACAAACGTGACACCTCAAGGTAGACCCTGAAAGGAGGAATGAAAAGAAGGCAGAATGCAGCAGCTCTCAGATCCCATCAGAGCAACACCTGCCATCCTCTCCTCCTTGAGTGAGGACAGAGCCCTGGGTCCCTCCATCTTTCTGGCGCCTCACAGCCTGCCCCATCCTACAAGCTCCTCCTCTCCTTTCTGGGTTTCCCTTGTGTGCCCACTGGATGTGGCTCACAGACCCACCCCACACCCACAGCATGAACACAGATGAGCACAGACCCTCACCCCGGAGACATACATACTCACACTGTCATATGGAAACACCCGAGACGCCCCTCCCCGCAACCCCCACTCAGGGACATGCCCACATCACACCTCACTGGCATCTCACATTCGACTGCTCTAGAAAAAGAAATTCCATGGCTTTGGAGTCTGTGCCCGTGCACCCTTTCCACCTACCTTCCTGGCCAACCCGACTGCCTCCAGTGCCTGGCTCCACGCTCCTTGGCCTGAGACCCTGTGTCCTGCCTGACCCGGGAGCCGAGGCAGCCCACTATTGAGTCTGTGTCAGGGCAGGACTTGTTCTTGGGGAAGAAGCTGGTCACACTCCAGCAGCTCTCCATTTTCAGAGGTAGTCCCCAGAAGGCTTGAAGATGGCTGGTTCAGGCTTGGCCTCCAGACCAACCATCCCCAGGAAGGCAGGGCCATGGCAGGGAGAGCTGGGTGCTGGGCAATAAAACCAATCATCCCTGCCTGCCCTTGGGGACCCCACATCAAGAGGCTCCCCCACTACGTATCCATATCAGCTGACCATCCTTCTAATGCTGTCTTGCCCACTGAATCCTCTGGGCTACAACTGCCTGGACCCACCTGGTGCCAGGGCAGCATCCAGACATGGACGGCCACCCTGTGTCTGTACAGGCATTCCAGACCTCCTCCTCCTCCTCCCAGCCCAGGGGGCTCAGGGCCAGAACTGACCTTGACTTGCCAGCGTGGTGACATTGCTCTCCACCCGTGGCAGGCCCAAGACCAGAAGAAAAGCAAGGAGGGTTATCATTTCCAACGATGCCTGGACATGAGGAACAAGCAGGACCACTTGGTCAGACCTGTGGCTCCACAGTTAGATTTGACCCCTGTTGGTCTAGCACCATTCAGAGCCCTCCCCTCTGGTCACTGGGGCAGACCCTCCCCTCCTCATCCATGGGCCAGGGGCTGGGTATGGTCTCTTGATGCTGGGGGTGGGGCTGTCACCACCACCACCAAGTCCCCTCTGTCCCCAGGGACCCCACCACTCCCTGGAACTCTGCATTCATTCACCCATGCCCCAGCAAACTTGCTCAGCAAGTGTTCCTGCTGCAGTTCCCCCAAGGCAGTACCGGGTTTCCCCAACCCCTGATTTGAACTCCTGTTCTCTTAGGAGACACCATAGGGTACTCTCCCACCCAGCGTCACCGCCCTTCCTCCTCCCTCTTCATCTTCCTCTCCATCCATTGCCAGGTCTTCACTGGTGCAGCCTGACCCCAGGGTACAGGAAGGCTTGGCTACCCCTGCACCACCCAGCCCAGCCTTACTGCCCAGATGGGTGCTGAGGCTAGCCCTCTCCCTCACAAGGCCTGCCAGCCTTATGCCCTTACACACTCATACCCCGCAGCCTTCTGGGCTCCCCATCCCTGCTCCTGCCCCAGGTTCCACACCCCGCCTTCGCCCTGCTATCTGGCAGGTAGGGGGCAACAAGCCTCTGTTAGCGCAGTCAACACCTTTGCAGGAATTCTGGTTTTTTACATGCCATTGCCTGGATGTAGGACAGTCCATTTTCAGAGCCTCTTTCGATGAGCCTTTGTGTTGTTTACAGTGTATTGTACTAGAAATAAAGCTGCAATTGTCCGTAGTGTTATTTCTTACAAGTGCAGGTACACTGGAGAGTTTCCCAGAAATAAGACTGACAGTCAAAAGTTTGATGTATTTGCAATGTAGATGCACTTGCTCAACAGTTCATCAGTTTTCTCCACGAGTGCCTGTTCCCATAGTATCATCAAAAAAGGGTACATTCCTATTCATCCTTTGGGTTTTCACCAATGTGGTAGGTAAAAATAGTATCCTGATAATTAACGATCAGAATTAATTATGAGTGACATACAGTTTTTGCATTCAGATAGATGTCTGCATTCCTTTTTCTGTGCTTTCTATTCAAGTCTGTTATCCAAATACACTGTGACCCTAATCCATTGTCTGCCATAAAAAGTAAAACTGTTTTTCCTATTTGATATAGGTCTTGGTATTAATGCCAAGCAGAAGTGGTTATGCCAAGCTTTTCATGGTTAAATAGAGCCAGACCCTAAAGTGATAAGGATGGATTTTAAATCAGGAGCATTTTATTTCAGTGGGAAAAAGAGTCTTCATGAAGGGAACTCCACTTGAATTTGCACAGGGGTGACTGGGCATTTTAAAGGAAGAGTGAGGGAGTACGGAGGTGGTGAGCAGGGCTCAGTGGAGTTAGGGAAGTGAAAGTTACAAAAGCAGGAAGGCAGGGTTGGTCCCTGTGAAATCTATCTTGGTTTGCTAACTGACATGTACCAAAGTTAAGCACCCACCCTCCACGGAGGCTGAGAAAGGGGCCCATCTTCACAGAACACAGTTCTTCAGGAAGGGGTTTAAGGCCAGGGTTTGGGGCAGGGGGGAGACTTGGATCATCTAGGGATGTGACCTTCAGTTGTTAGAAGGCACTTAGTGTCTGCTCTAGTCTTTACAGACCAAGTTTGACGCCTAGTGGATAAAGGGCCCAGAGGAGCCTGGCTGGAGTGAGTCAGGAGAGGAGCTTTACCACCACCTTTTATGGTTCTGGATTTTGAAACCAGAACAGTTTCAAAATTCAGAGCCATAGTTCTGCTAGTTAGAGAAACCTTCCCCCACACATCTGATCTCAGAAACTAAGCAGGGTTAGGCCTGGTCAGCACTTGGATGGGAGAAACCTTCCCTCAAACAAGGTTATAAATTAATTCTCTCATATTTTCTTCTGATAGCTTTACCAGACTTTTTTTCTTTCTCTTTTAACATTTGGATCTTCGATCCATTTGGGACTTACCCTTCAGTGTTATGTTTTTTCAGACGATGACTTAAATTATCTTAACATCATTAATCATAATGTCCACCTCATCTACTGTCAATTTGGAAGCCCTTTCATCATGTATTGGATTCCAGATGCACCTGGTTCTCTTTGTGGGTTGTCTTCAGTTCCTTTGTCTGTCCATTCACACAGCAGAACTACAGTTTTGGTGACTGGGTCCACAGCACACCCTTGAAGGTGGGGGAGGCCCTCACCATACCTTTCAGAATTTATTGTTGCTTGATTCTTTTTTGGTTTGTCTGGTTAGGAAGTAGAAAGCCAAATGAGAACCTGTATTAACTCTAACAACCACAAACACAATGACAGCAAAAAGAGAAAACCAGAAAGCTGAGCTTGCAATGTCACCAGGTAAACACAAATCTGAAGAGTAGCAAGCCCTAAAAAAGTGGAATGATATGCTGTGTTCCCAGATCAGAAGACTTACTATTGCTAAGATGTCAGTTCTCCCTAAATTGATCTGTAGATTTAGCACAATCTCAGGCAAATTTCCCGGAGATATATTTTCAATGTAGAAATAATCAACTGGGATTCTAAAATTTAGGTAGAAAAGTGAAAGACCTAGAATAGCCAAAATAATTTGGAAATAGAAGAGCCAAGGACTTATACTACTTGATTTTGAGACTTACTAGAAAGCTATGGTAACCAAAGACAGTGTGATGCTGCAGCAAGCTTAGACATACACTCAATAGAATAGAATAAAGAGTCGAGAAGTAGACCTACCCATGTGTGACTGACTGATTTTAGACAAAGGTGACAAGCAAAAAAATGCAATGAAGAAATGGCCTCTTCTGTGACAAATAATGCTGAGACCTTTGAACAAACATATGCAAAAATGATGTACCCAAATGCAAAAAAGAACAAAAACATAAACATGACTTTCCCTTTGAAAAGTGAAAAATGAAAGTGTTAGTCACTCAGTTGTGTCCGACTCTTTGTGATCCCCATGGACTGTAGCCTTCCAGGCTTCTCCATGAAATTCTCCAGGCAAGAATACTATAGTGGGTAGTCATTTCCTTCTCCAGGGGTCTTCCTGACTCAGGGATTGAACCCGGATCTCCTGCATTCCAGGGAGATTCTTTACCATCTGAGCCACAAGGGAAGCCCTGACTTTCCCTTTACCTCATCGTACACAAAAATCCATTTCAACAGATTATAGATATAAGTTATAAAACTTATCTAAATACAAAGCTAGACGACTGTTAGAGAAAAACAGGAACACTGTTTTCAACCTTAGGTTAGTCGAAGAATTTTTCAGTTCAGTTCAGTTCCTCGGTTGTGTCCAACTCTTTGTGGCTCCATGGATTGCGGCTCCATGGACTGCACGTCAGGCCTCCCTGTCGATCACCACCTCCCGGAGTTTACTCAAACTCATGTCCATTGAGTCAGTGATGCCATCCGACCATCTCATCCTTTGTCATCCCCTTCTCCTCCCATCTTCAGTATTTCCCAGCATCAGGGTCTTTTCAAATGAGTCAGTTCTTCGCATCAGATGGCCAAAGTATTGGAGCTTCAGCATCAGTCCTTCCAATGAATATTCAGGACTGATTTCCTTTAGGATGGACTGGTTGGATCACCTTGCAGTCCAAGGGACTATCAAGAGTCTTCTCCAACACCACAGTTCAAAAGCATCGATTCTTCAGCATCCAGTTTTCTTTATAGTCCAACTCTCACATCCCTACATGACTACTGGAAAAACCATAGCTTTAACTAGATAGACTTTTGTTGGTAAATTAATGTCTCTGCTTTTTAATACGCTGTCTAGGTTGGTCATAACTTTTCTTCCAAGGAGCAAGTGTCTTTTAATTCCATGGCTGCAGTCACCATCTGCAGTGATTTTGGAGCCCCCCCCCCCAAAAAAAGAAAGTCTGTCACTGTTTCTACTGTTTTCCCATCTATTTGCCATGAAGTGATGGGACCATATGCTATGATCATAGTTTTCTGACTGTTGAGTTTTAAGCTAACTTTTTCACTCTCCTCTTTCACTTTCATCAAGAGGCTCTTTAGTTCTTTTTCACTTTCTGCCATAAGGCTGGTGTCATCTGGGTATCTGAGGTTATTGATATTTCTCCCGGAAATCTTGATTCCAGCTTATGCTTCATCCAGCCCGGCATTTCACATGATGTACTGTGCATATAAGTTAAATAAGCAGGGTGACAATATAGAGCCTTGATGTAATCCTTTCCCAATTTGGAACCAGTCTGTTGTTCCATGTCTGGTTCTGTTTCTTCTTGACCTGCATACAGATTTCTCAAGAGGCAGGTCAGGTGGTCCGGTATTCCTACATCTTTAAGAATTTTCCAGAGTTTGTCGTGGTCCACACAGTCAAAGGTTTTGGCATAGTCAGTTAAGCAGAAGTAGATATTTTTTCTGGAACTCTCTTGCTTTTTTGATGATCCAACAGATGTTGGGTGTTGAATTTTTAGATAAGATGTATAAAACATGAATCACGTGACCAAAACTGCTACAGTTTGTAGGGGAAAGAATGCTGATGTCTGTAGTTAACTTTGAAAGGAATCCAAAAGATAAAGTGAATTAAAGCATTGTTAGACAGATGGATAGATATGTGGGAGAACCAGTAAAATGTTAAGGTGGACAAGGTGGTGGGCTTCCCGGTTGACGCAGTGGTAAAGAACTGCCTGCCAATGCAGGAGACACAAGAGACGCAGGTTCCACCCTGGCTTGGGAAGATCCCCTGGAGGAGGAAATGACAACATACTCCAGTATTCCTGCCTGAAAAATTCCATGGACAGAGGAGCCGGGCAGGCTGCAGTCCATGGAGTCACAAAGAGCAATGACTGGACAATTAACACTTTCACTTGCTTATACTGAACAGAGTTGCACACAGCCGAACACACACACACACACACATCCTTGCACTCACTGTAAACTATTTCAACATTACTGCCTCAGATAATTTATATAAAATGCAAGGG